CTTGTTCAATACTACCACTTTGGTTTATGATATTATTATCTCATTTGCATGATTAGATCAGATTTCCTTTGCTTCAGACCTCTATGCAGAGATAGCCAGTTGTCTATTAGAAAACATTTGCCTTTCTTCTTTGGTCATAGAAATACACCTAAAAACATAGCTTTTTGGCCAAAATATACACCCCGTTTTGCTTATAGTTAGGTATAGTCATGTGAGTTAAGTAAACTGTTATCAGTAGAATGTGAGCATGTGCTATTTCTAAGTCAAGGGCATATAATATTTGGGCTTGCTTTCTCAGTACTCTTTTATTGTTTTTCCCCTCATGAAACCTGAATATTTTGACAATCTGGCCTAATCCTTATATACCATGACAAGTATAAAGTCTGAGCAATAACTTGAAAAGAATCTGCTTCCCTGTATCATTGTGATCGATGGATATTCTCTGTGGATCTGTACCAACCACATTTTAAGAATTTCATGTATGGGCACCCTGTATTTACAACATTTTTACCTCTCCTTCTCCCCTTCCACTTCTTCCTATTCCCCTTCCTTCCTGTCAAATTCAAGACCTCCTCCTGTATAATTATTGTTTTACACACACACACACACACACACACACACACACACACACACACACACACACAAAAATATACATGTATGTCCAATTAGTGATGCCCCTATGTTTTTACATGGGTTTAGGGCTGAGCACTTAGGATTGGGAAACCTATCAGGGGATCGTCCCTTGAGAACATTTATTTTCCTTCTTTCAGTAGCATTTACCTCCTGTAGTTGTTCATTTATGTTGGCTCCCCATCCATTAAAATTTCTCCACACAGGTTGACATGTTGATTGGTATGGTCTTGTGAGGGCAACCATATTGTTGAGGGTTCATGGATGCGGTATCCCTATCATGTCCAGAAGATACTGTATGATGGCAGTTGTCCTGGTCATCTGGCTATTAAAATCATTCTGTCCCCTTTTTCATGATGTTTCCTGAGCCTTAGGTATAGATAGGGTTGTGTTGTAGATGTCTTATTTGTGGCTGGGTAACCCATAGTCACTTAATATATATCATTTGACCAGTTGTAGATTTATGTCATAGCCTCCATTTGCTGCATAAAAATCTTATTTGATGAGGAGTAAGAGCTTTACTTACCTAGGAGTATAAAGGTAAGTACTTAGTAGATTACAGTTTTGAAGCTATATTCATTTAGAAAAATCACCTGGTAGGTTCTCCTTTAGGATCTGTGGCCTCTCCAGCCATGAGTTCTTTGCCAGCTTTACAGTGCCAGATATGAATTTCCCTGTATTGTGTGGATCTTAAATCCAATTGGTTACTCCCAAGATATAAATGCCAATATTGCACCACTGGGGATATCCTGCTAGGTTGGTGATTGTGATTAACAGTATTTCCTGATAATATTAGATGATGCTTGAACAAAAGACAGATTACTAAGGCTTTCTGCTAGGAGGCAGCATTTACACATGCCTGCACTGGCTCAGCAGATTCACATTCTATGGTTGAGTCCCAAGTGCTGTAGGGTGTTCCCATACATACCCTCATTGTTGCCTTCTGCACTTTAGTATCTTTGTATTCACCAATATGGTAACATATGTTCTGATTAGGTGCTTTATATTACAGGGCTGTCCCATATGCCATATCACCTTCCTTTTATTCTGGGTGTGCCTTTACAGTAAGATTGTTGATAACCTTTCTCCTTTGGCACCTTGCACAGCACTTTCCCCATACCATGAGAGCTAGCCCTTAGGGAGGAGACTTCTAGGGCTGTACCAGATTGATTCCTCCAAATCCTGTGATTGAAATGTATAGTGTCTTCATCAATAGGGTCTTATCTTCAAGTTCTGGGAGGCAATTAAGAGAAGTGGCAATAGTCTATGTTGTTTTTTTGAGGGGGGGGGAATGGGGGAACTCTAGGATGACCCTATCCAACAATTTCTTAGCTTCCAGGCACTCTGCTAAATGCCAGGACTAAACCAATTAGATCACCTTGTTTTTAAAATCCATTTATACAAAGATTCAAGTCCCTTGGACTTGGGAATCTGTTCAGTGGTGCTTCCATGTGGTCTAAACTGTCTTTAAATATAGTGCTTCTCAAACTTTAATATATGTACCGATCACCTTGGTATCACTTAGCTTGCAATTCTGATTTAGTGGGAGTGGGATGAGGCTGAGAGTCTGTAGGTCCTATAAATTCCCAGATGATGCTGATATTGCTGGTCCACTAGCCACAGTTGGAGTAGCTAGGCTTTAATCTTCAAAGGGACAGTGAGTTTACCTGGGCAGATGATTACTATTTCTCTGGGGCTACCTGCTCCTCTGCTGCAGAAAAATTCCTTGCCTGAAGCCTACTGGTATTTGCCTAATTTTCAAGCTCTACGAAGCACTATACATGTTTTAATTAAAAAAGACTTTGAAACAATTAAGATACACTATGTAGAGTGACTGTAGAATTCATGGACATAAATTGTGTTGTTTTACTGAGGGGGTGGAATAATGTTTCTGTCTCTGTTTAATTAAGAAAAAAAATGAAACAAGGGAGGTTTTGATGGGTGACAGACAGACTGAAAGAGCTGCACAGAACTTGGATGAAGAGTTTGTTTAGGGAAAAATATGTTTAGTATATCTCTTAATTTAGGCCACTTTATGGGAAATTTTGCCTTTCTCACCTTGTCTTGTTTCCTTTAAAGAATTTTAAAGATCCTACTGCCACTCAATTCTTTTGCCTCAATGCATTTAGATTTCAAAAGTTTCTCACAATATAAATGTCCCCTACTTGAAAGCATTAAATACTCTACAGTCACCAATACTTTAGGGTAGGTGTTTCAAACTATAGGGCTTCTTGTTTAGGCTTCTGGGGGATCTCTGAACTCAAAACATTTTTTTTCAAAAATTTACATATGTACTTACATATAGACACATTTTCTTTGGCATTTTTTCCTAGGGAGAGTCTGTAACAGGATTCTCCAATGTGGTCTCTGATTCTCTGAAGGCTAAGAGTCTTCTTAGATGAGACGATAACAGAGAAGTGGGGGATTACTTTAATGATGGGAGAGAAACGTACACTGTCTTATCACTTGGTTTATGTTGTTTTCCCTGCATTAGATTCTGTATTCTTTGAGAGGAAGTGCTGCTCATCTGTTTATGATGTTCAGCAGAGTGTCTTGCATGGAAAATGTACTCATAGAACCTAAAACTAGGCTGGGAAGTATGTAGGGAACAGAGCATGGAAGGTGCTCATGGAAAATGGTATACTGAACATGTCCTGGAAGGTAGATGCTATTCAGATGACTAGGAATAGAGAAGACAGGACTGGGATGGGACCTAGAGAAAACTAGGTTGATACTTTTCATAGGGCTTAACTTCATCTATGTACACTCCACCCTTTCCTAGGATCATTTTCATTGGGATGTAAAATGTAGGTCTAACATCTCAGCTTTTTCCTTCTTGTTTCCTAGTTAAGACGTGCTGTTCAATCAATAAAGATGAATAATTTAAATTCAATATCCCTCTGTCACTACCAGTAATACTTTTGTGAGTGATGTAGTACTAGGGTAATTCAATTTGTTAGTCCCTGCCACACTTTCACGTGACAGTCTGCTGAAGTTGTAAACTTAATTTACTCTAGGCACTTGACACAAGTAACATTGATGGTTTTTATCTTTAAAAGTATTGATTTTCCACCGGAAAATCTCTCCTCTGTATTCGTGTTTATTGAATAAACAGACACCTGTCTGGTTAAGGAAAACTTTTTAAAGCTAAGAGACCTTCCTCTTTGGTTTAAAGCAGCTCTTGGTTGAACAACTTAAAACCCAGTATTGGGAGAGGCCTGGGATATTATGTTGTCTTATCTGTTGGTCACTCCCAGGGGTAGCTTTTTATCATCCAGCATAGTAGAGTCTACTGCTTAGTAACCCTCATGGTTTGAAAGCTCTCCACAGTGGGAACAGTACCCACTCTTCTGCATCTTTGACCCATTATTCACTTTCCTGAGTTATATAAATGTATTATATACCAATTGCTTGGCAAGTGTTTTATATATTAGAAGACTGTTTGCATGTACATCTAAAATTTCTCTTGGTCAGCTAAACATTCCTAGTAATTTTAACTCATTTCATTTGAAAGAGTTTCTGTATCACTTCACAGTTGTGGATGGCCTCCTCTGGCTACGCCAAAGTTGTTGATAAAGATTTTCAAAGTGTAGCGTCCAAGTAGAGTACTCCTGACGACAAGATCTAAAGGGATTCAACTTCACACAGAACTCTTCTTAAAATGACACTCTAAAACAAATCCTTGTTCAACTTTCTAAAACATTTGAAATGAATGAATTATATACATTGTGCATATGATTTTTGTCTCCCTTTGAGAGATAAGTTCAACATATTCATTTGGTTTGTTATATCTTGCAAAAATAAAATAACAACTTAAAGAAAAGTTTGGATTCACTAGCAATGAAGTTTTGAGCTCCTTTGATATATGCTCTCATTATAACCCATTCCTCTCTTCTAATGGGAGCACTTCTTATGACTATAATTGATTATATCTAAGGATCTGGAGCCCTGAGGTTTATATAGTAATTGGTGAGAACTAGAAATTTCAATGTTTTAATTTTTGTAAGATTTAAAAAAATGTTTTATATTATGGAAAATGACATTATTTATCAAACTAATAAATAGTAGCTCCCAGGGACTCATTCATTTAGGTCTTACAAGTATAGGTGCATTTATATTACATACTCCCCCTGCTAAGAATTATTTTAAAGAAAATCTAAGGTATCACTTCATCTTAAATATCTTAGTACATATTTCTAAAAAATTTCTATAAAATTGTTATTTTCATGCCTGAAATTTTGTTGTAGTGTTGCAAAGAACATAGGTATACAGATGTCTCTAGTGTATGCTAAGTTGGATTCATTTTGGTATATACTCAGGAGTAGTATAGTTGAGTTACATGATAATCATGGTTTTTTGTTTTTCGATAGGACTGATTTCCTATGCTGATTTCCATAGTGGATACATTGATGTATATGTCCAACAATGGTATGTAAAAGTTTCTCTTCTTCTGTATTATTGTCAGCATTTGTTCTTTGACTTACTGTTCTGACTGAAATGTGATGGAATCTCAGTGCCATCTTGATATGCATTATGTGATAACTGATGATGTTGAAATTTTTTTCATGTATCTTGGACATTTTATATTCTGTGCTGAAAACTAGTTAATTACTACATATGACCATTTGTAGATTGGATTTTTGGGTTTATTTTTAGTTCTTTTTATATTCAGGATACTTTAATCCCCTTTCAAATGGGAGGATATTCATAGATAATATGTAAAGTATGTGCTGTTTTATATAAGTGCCTTGAATAGCCACTGATTTTTGATATTTTGTCCTGAAATCAATTCCCCTAAGGATACCCAGCGGTTACTTTACACTTAAAATATCTTCATAAATGTTTTAATATGTTTATTACTATATTCTTGAGTATGAAAAATTCATCTTACTATAGCCAGCCATATTATGTTGAAATATATTCATGATACTTTATATGTAATATCCTATTACTATGAGTGAATTCTTATTAAACCATCCATTTCCTTCTGTGAGGCAGAATAATTTGAATATTCCTCAAAATGGTTTTATGACAACAAAACTACAGCCAAGGAAGTTTTAAAGTAAAGCAAAGAAATTAAGTCAACTATCCAGTTAACAAGAGGATCAAGGGAAGGCAGATTTGACAAACTGTGATGATTTAGTGTAGATTTGTTAGGGCCACATACTGACTGACTGACAGTCATAGAATGTCCTGGTGCTAGTACTGAGAAATTGATTGCTTCCTTCATGACTCTGTCTTCCATGTATAAACTTCTTGCTGTTGTCATCAACAAGTCCCAAACAGCTTTTAATTCTTTTCTAAATTTAGGTTCATTGAATCTAAGTTGTTAAAATTATGTCAAGTCTCTCACTTTCTGCACATTGTCCAGTTGTGAGTCTCTGTGTTAATTCCTACCTACTGCAAGAAGAATCCTCTCTGATGTGGGTGGAGTGAACATACAATATTTGATTTGACTGGAAGGTACTTTGCATGCTACTGAAGGAGAAAAGTAATCATCAATATCGCCCAGCTACAAACTCTATAACCTACAACAGTGACCTGCCTGCAAGTTACACTGGAGCAAAGTGGCACAAATGTTATGGGAGTCACCAACCACTTTTTGGGTTGATTTGAGACCCACTCCATGAGATGAAACCTGTACCTGACCCTGCTAAAGTAGCCAAGAACCTGAGGCTAGATAGGTCATTGACCTAGAGAAAAACCCAGTACTATTATTCTGCTAAAGGAACATAGCAATAAAATGACATCCTGTTATACCCGTAGATCAGTATCTTACTCAACCCATATCAGAGAAGCTTCTTCTTGTAAGTAGATGAGAACTAACACAGAAACTCACAACTGGACAATGTGTGAATTATGTTGGAACACCCAACCCTAAACAGAATATCTTCAAACCCCTCCTCTCAGAGTTCAGGAAGAGGAGGCAGAAAGATTTTAAGAGTCAGAGGAAACAGTATCTTCCACACACAACATGCCTGAATGATGCACATACGAACTCACAGAGACTGTGATAACATTTACAAGTCCTGTACAACTTCAAGCTAGATGGGGTCACAGCACTGAGAAGGGGAAGTAGACGTGGAGTCCCACCACTAAGTAATAAGCTGTCTGCAATTGGTACTCATTGGCAGGGGGAAAATTAGTTTTCTTCAGTGGCATTTTACTGGATATATAAAAAAACAATTCAGGGCAGGCCCCATGCTCAGGAGTAGTTGGCCAACATGAAACAAACACAAATGGCATTTTTATGGACTTTTGTTTAATTTTTCTTTTAGAATTTTTCCTTATTGATCTTTTGCTTGTCTGTTTTGATTTTTTGCTTTGATTTTCATTCTTGTGATTTTTTGTTTTTTTCATTTCTCTCCTCCCTCCCTGCTTTCTTTCTTTCTTTCTTTCTTTCTTTCTTTCTTTCTTTCTTTCTTTCTTTCTTTCTTTCTTTCTTTCTTTCTTTCTTTCTTTCTCTGTCTTTCTCTCTTTCTCTTTCTTTTTTGAAACAGAGAGTGAAGAAAAGCAGAATGAAGTTGGACAGGTAGGGAGGTTGGGAACGAGATCTGGGAAGAATTGGTGGAGGGGAAAACATGATCAAAATATATTGTATGAAAAAATGTTTCCAATAAAAAATGAAAAATCTAAGAATATGTATGTACCCTGCACATTTGTTTCCTCGCCCTTCACTGTAGCCCTTGTGTTTGCTTATAAAAGCAGCTGGTATATGTTATCTAATTTATGTTGGTAAAAAGGTACTTATACATAAAAATGTCTAAAATAAAAAATTGTATCTGAATATTATTTTAGGATATTATCCTCTAAGTAAATTAGATCACATTAGAGGATAGACATCATGACATCCATTTTTGTCTCATGGGAACAAAACTTGGTTTTGTGTTTATTACTTTATTTAGTTTTTGTTTCTGCCTATTTTCCTTTGTGTTGCTAATTTGTATTAGAAGAAGTTTATAAAAAAATATTGTCTGGTTGGGTGAACCAGGAGACATTACTGTATTTTTGTTATCTCCATTTATGGAGAAACTTGTTGGGCAGTTATTTAAAAGTTTAAAGAATTTCAAATAAAAGTAAATTTGTTATACTACTACTAGAATAATTTAGAATATTTGATCCCAGCTATACATCTATCTCCAAATTCTATTAACTGTCTCTTGCAGTTGAATTTATTATCTTAGGCAAATACAAAACTAAGTCAAAGGTGATAAGTAGTACCTGCATTAGGGGAATAACAGGGATCAGGGGCATAGTACTAGTTTGCCTTAGTGGTCAGTCACCAACCCTATAACTTTATTAATATTCATTGAGGAAAATAAGAATCATCATGGCATTGTCTATTTGTGTTTAATGTGCCCATTTGTATAGTACTTGGTATATGTAAGTCCTCAGTCATTTTCTTGAGATTATGAACCTGAAAAATATTTAGATTATGCCTATTTCTGATCATCCCAAGTATGTATGGTATATATCTTCTACTTATGGACCTTAGTTTTGGGAGATAGGCTAGAGGGAGGCTAAGAGGAGCTCATGTCAGAAAAATGTGATTTCCTGTTTTTCATGGAAGAGCTGTACATAATCAGAGGTAATGAAAAAAAACTGCATTTCTCTAAGAGAGTTTCCATAATACCCTACAAAGCATTGGGTGCTTTTTAAAATGGACTTATTGATGTCGAGGGAATGAGCATAATGAACACAACACAGACATGATCAAGAAATGTAGCCTCTGTAAAAAAAAACCCTAATTGCTCCCTGCTGAACCCATCAAATAAGATGTGTTGTCCCAGTAGGAAGGCTTATGGAAAGAGCATTGCAATAAGCCTCCCAATGCTACTTATAACAAGCTGAAAGGAGATTCCCAGCATCTATCACATGACATTCAGATACGTATCCATCCAATTCTTGAATACCTTCATCATCGCTATCTATTTCTAGATACTGAGAATTGATGTTCACATATGGATATTAAAGATTCTCAAAAAACATAAATTCATGAATTTACAAGCGCTTGGAAAAGTGCCATACTCTCAATGCAATAAATAATTTTTAAGCACCCAGTGTGCTTATAGTATAATACTGAGTACCTTCGGGGGAGCTGAGGAGCAAAATAAGCCTAGCTTAAAGAAGCAGAAATGGGATTTGAGGGGTCAGTTGGTGTGGCAGTAGTGAGTTTCTAAATGAAAACAAAAATCTATTAAGTGGGACTTTTCTTTTCTCAAAAGAATGCTTTCAAAATTTGACTTTTCTGCATTGACTCTTTTATCCTCCTCCATTTTTCAAAAACTCACTTTGATTAATAAATATTATTCAGTGTAATGTTTCAAGAGTGTAGTCAGTGCAATGTTACCTTAAATATGTACAATTTTGGTGGTATATGAGTGAATAGAGCTTTTGTAGTTTTATACTTAGCTTAATACACAATTGGAAAATACTACAAACCATCTATCAACCCTTTAATAGCTATGATGTTTTAGCAGCATAAAAAGTAAACAAGTGACATGTTTTGAAGAAAACACTCAAATAGTAATGCAGGGTTAGGAAATGCTTTTTCATACTTGTAAGTACATGATTATATGAAAATACTAGAAAACTATAATCTGTTACTGTATATTAAATTAAATCAAGACTAAGCTCCAAATCAAAGCCACTATTTCTGTCTGCTAAAATGATTGTAAAATGCTGTTTTGAAGAAGTAAATGGCATGGGGAAAGCAGTGATTAAGAAAGGGACAGTTTTTAGACAACTTTGCCCCTAAATTCCCCTACAGACAGACTCATTATTGAAAAGGAACAGTGCCACCTGAAGTGAACTATTTTCTCTTTAGGGCAGCAAGTCAAATATTCACTTCTTATTAATAATTTAATGTGACAAATGTATTACTTTTAAGGTGCAACAAGTCAATTAGACAATGGGATGTTGTATCTTCCTTTCAGCTTTCTTAATTGGCTTCCAAGTGTGACATTCATCAAAACCTTGACTTCTAATGTAAACTGAATTCCAGGAATTGGGTTTGGGATTGAAACTAGGCATACTTGAGCAACCCTCAGAGAGGTGGTTACTACTTTCATCAATGGGTAAAAAGATAAGATTTAGGATGTACTAAGGAATTATGCTGAGCTAGCAAAGTGACAGTAGTAGATTTTTTTTTCTGAGCCCCATAATCTCATTAGCCCCAGGATGTTAGCCAGGTTTCCAATACCAGATATTATTTAACTTCTGTTGAGTGGCTCTAAGTCCAATTAGACAGCTTTTAGTTGTCACTGATATGTGAAAACCACTTACTGCACTTTTAGAGATATCTTGCCATGCTGGTCATTGCCATGGCTCTTAGGTGATACAGCTGGGTAGGACCATTAGTTTCTTCTCTTCCTTGGTAGTTTGCATATTATTTTTAGAACCATGGAAGCTAGGCCACATTTAGGAGG